GATATCAGCCTCGTTGTAATAACAATAATTTTGTTTTCCTCGAGATCGAAAAAGATCAATTCCAAATATTCGAACAACGTTAACTTAGTTTGTCAAATTAGACGGAAGAAGCAAAGACAAATCGAAGGTCGAATATCTTGGACAGAAAGAAAACGTCAAAGTGGCGAGAAGAGCACGGACTACGCGGAGACATCGACGCTGGATTAAGCGCGATCGCTCGATCTGTTTTACCGGAAATCGGTAACGAAACCGATTTTCCCTGAGAATAAAATCGTCGTCGTTAAAATTGTGATCGATCGTCGTCACCCGATTTTGATTCGATTTTCGTTTACATTAAATCATCATCTCCAAGTTCGTTCCATCAAAATTTATCGTCGAATCAAATAAAAAAAGAAAAAAGTCGATAGATAATTCTGAATCGATGCGTAGACAGATTGATAGATCGTGGAATCGAAGGGGAATCACGATGGTCTTCGTTGGTACGAATGCATTCTGCCTTTCTCTTTCGCTGCTCTTTTTCGAGAATTGGAAAGCGATCAACCGAGAGCGACAGTTTTCCTTGAGACACGTACGCTCGAAACTTCCGTCTGCCAGACGAATAAAGGGAACTTGGGAGTGGAAAAATAGCTAGCGACGATGCATGTTTTCTCTTCTTGCCTCGATGGGATCGGAGGGAGGGATCAGCGACCGTGAAGCGTACACCTTGCAAGATAACATAGCTTCGTTAAATATACGTGGTAATTGTTTGGCAGTCTTTAAACGATAAATGTTTCCATTTCCATTCCTATTTTTGGATATATTTCGTTACAAATCCGATGAAAAAAACTTACCGATTACGTTCTCAATTGAAAGTCAATCAATTTATCGGGGTGAAATAAAAAAAAAGGAAAGACAATATTCTTTCAAAATTTCTTATCTCTAAATTTTTAGACGAATTTTTAATAAGGAAGCTTGGAGAATTCTTTTCAAAAGCCACTTATTATCGACGAGAAGGAGAACAACTTGATCGATAAATCCTTTCCTTTGAGGATCGATATATAATACGATTCGCAAAATTCGATTTTACAAAATTCGAGCAAAATGGATCATCGAACAACGCTGGAAAATTTATTCATCTCGAATAGAGATCGATAGAACCAGTTTTTCCCCACTTTCCTCGTTTTACATAACTCCTCGACCAGAAAGATAATCAACGTCGCATCGGATCGTTAAGCAAAATCGAAAGATCGGAAAAAAAAAATCGCTCGCCGCTGGTTCCTCGTTTCGTTTCCACGGGGAGTTGATCAAGTTGAGAGAAGTTTAAGCGAGATTTTCCTCGATCGTGATCGGTTCGCTTTCTTTTTTTCATTGTTCACGTTTATTCTTCTCGTTTCTTCAAAGCGGTAAGGCATTGTCGGATATGTCAGCTGAGATCTTCGAATCGCTCCTGTGATTGCGTTGCATCGAAGGCATTTTTACAAAAATAATCATCCCCTTTTCTTCTTTTCGCGCCCCACTTTCCATGATCTTCCTACTCTTTCATCTTTATCTTATTCTTTTTTAATATAATTGTCGACAGAGTCGATTATTGTTTCGCTGTTTTTTTTTATCTTTTTCTATTTCTTCTTTGTGTCTCTTTTTTTCAGGATGCTGCGTTAGAAAAATTCGCTTCGAAAACAGGAAGAAACATTAATACACGAGGTATCTTTTTAGTTTTGTATGTACGCTTAATCGAAAAGCAGCCAGCCGCGTTTACTGTTTTCGTCGTTTCTTCGTTTTCTTTTTTTTTTTTTTTATTTTTTCTCATTTGTCGTTCTTCTACAGTCGTCTCGAGACAGCGGTTACAATTGCACTTTTGCGCTAGAAAATAACGAAGAAAACAAATCAAGTGCACATCAGCAACGAAACACTTTCTTCTTCTTTTTTCTTTTTCTTTTTTGAATCGTTTCTTCTTTGCTCGTCCACACGACAGATGATTCCCATCTACGATCGTTTTCACAACTTTCCTGACTTTTATGCCGTGTTTCTTCTTCTTTCTCTTCTTGATTTTTCTCTGTCCTTTTTTACTCTTTGGCACATTTACCGGAATACGTTGTACACGCATCCAGGTACATCACCGTTTGAAAACGTTTTTCTCTTGGTTAGTTTACACCAACGATTAAAAAATTCAATGTATTTTTTTCCTTTCAAACGTTTTAAGAATAGTTAACGTTATTTTCATTCAATAATATATTTTGATCGTTCATTGAAAATTAAAAAATTTTAACCTTGGAATTACAAAGAATCGAGATAGAAGAATCTTTTTAAGGAGAAGTTCCAGAAGTTAAATAACACATTCATAAATAACACGGGATTATCAAAAATTGGAAAGAAACCTTTTTCTTCGAATCTTTGAATCACCGATGCCTCTCGTTTTCTCTCATCGGCTCGCCTTCCGATTCTGCTGTTATTACACATACGCGATAATAATTATTTAAGCTTGCACAGTATTTTTTTCGCGATTTTTTCTTTTTTTACTTCTTTTTATTTTCTTTTTATCTTTCTTTTTTTCTTTTTTTTTTTTTCTTTTTTTCCTCTTTAAAAGCGAGCAAAATCGCGGACGATCATCGGTTTTATTCGATAAAACGACTCGTGGACTCATCGATATTCAACTTATACACACTACTAGTAAAATTACATTTAACTTGGTAACAGGTAGATATATTAAACAAGACGTATAACCATTTACTTTTACAACAACGTTCGCTACGTTATACTCACGAATTGATAATTATTAATACTACTACTCGTTTATGTAAATGTAATTATTGCGGTAACAATTACGTTATTTAAATAGTTGGCGAAACACGTTCTTAACAAACCAGTTCCTGAAACCGATCTTCCTTTTTTCTTTTTTTCTTTTTTTCCTTTTTTTCTTTTTTTTTCTTTTTTTGTTTTCCATCATAGGAAATCAAACTTTCTACTTAATTTGAAATTTAATTCTACTTTCTTCCCTTCTCCATTAACGCAAACCACGTACGAATTCTACTTTCTTGTTATTCAATGAAACGAGCGAAATAAAATTCCATCTCTAAAAAAATCATGAATCATTTTTATCCTGAGATGGATACGAAAAAATTATAATATTTAAATAAATGAAATTAATAGGAACCGCTCTACTAACTCACGTAATAAATTATCTTCCTTGTTTTTCCAATTAACGACCGGTGAAATCGACGCGATCGTGCGCCACGATCGAAAAATTCGAGAATCACATCGAGTACAATAAAGATACAAATTGCATTCATTTAGAAAAATCTTCTCTCCCTCCCCCTCCCTCCTCTATATGATTCATCGTAAAAAATGTCTAAATCGACGCGATCCACAACGAGACCACGAAGTGAAAAAGCCCGAGATATCTTTGTATGAAAAATACAGTGCGCTCGAGTTTTCCAAGCGTGGAGCACGGTTCGAATAGAAAGGAATCGTCGCTTTCAACAACGCTATTTCCACTATCGCGATTCGACTACGTAAAGCAATTACGATTATCTCGTCGTCGAATGATAATTAATTTCGCGCATCGTGAAAAATTATTTCTCTCTTTCTTTTCCTCGGACCACGACTTGAATTAGAAATTTTTCACAAACTTTTGCCGCGATCGTCCGCGACCCCTCGAAAATTCGAACGATCAGGCTCATTGCTAACTACGCGTTGTCTATTTTTTTTCATTTTTCATTTTTTATTTTTTTTTAATTCGTTGAAAATATTATCGCAATTATCCTTAGTAGAATCCTCTCCGTTTTTCCCTTCTGCGCGCTCTTCACGATAACCGACCGCGCGACCGGAAGTCGGCGAGCGAGGTGCGATCGGGTAGGTACAAGTTTGCAATTCCACTACAATAGTCAATAATATTATCATATAATATACGTGTATATATAATATATTTTGTTAAGCCTCAACAATTCCCAATAATAAGTCTATGTTTAGTCTCTGCCTCTCCTCGATTCGGATTTTCGTCGATTTTGCTCCTCTTGCATCTTTGCATGCAACGCCGCCTGTTGATTTACTTTCGTACTAACGCTTATCTAGGTTATGTGCAAAAATAGAGTTTCGGGCATCTGCAGTCGAAGATTCTAACAGGCTTAAAATTTAAGGTTAGAAATAAAATATTTTTAATTGAAAACTTGAAATTTGAGACAATAGCACTAAATATATACATACATACATATATATATGTATATATGGATCCGTTTGAAATTATAATTTTTTTCTCGACACCGATTGTCATCACCGCCGCTAAATAAGCCAACGAGGAATTGAATCGACGAAAATCCTGACCGACGACACCGTCCATAGGATCTTCGATAACGTATTTTAGTCAACAGTGAACCACCGTGTCTCACGTGTGTCTCATAATCGTGGCACGTTCGACTCGTGCACGTGAAAACCTTTCTTCGTGATCGTGTTCTGCTTCGAGCATAATCCGAGAGCGTTCACGTAACACCGCCATCGTGAGGTGTTAGCACAAGTTCGTAGCACTCAGGATCCCACAAATGGTACCTCGTACTTGTGAATCTTTTCTTACTCTCTGGTTGAGAGTCTCTGATTGAATCTCGTTAGGATTAAAGGTATCGTAATTAATATACGCGAAACAATCCTTAATAGTTTGGCACAGTCAATCTTCCAACTCCCATGTAACGTTATCCTCGCACTCATAGCGTCTTTCCTTTATAATAGATCTCATCTTCAACTATATTTCCTTTGTACTCCTGTGTTTCATCGGATCTTCCACGTTTATTCCTCGTCGAACGATTCTCATCTCGTCGGAGCCACCTCTCGTTACACAGCTTCACGGGTAAAGGTTAGAAGCTTTCAATGCCAGTCCCGTTAGCCCTAAGGCTCGTCAACAAAGAGGCGAATCACGACGATCACGCGTTAATTATCATCCAATTGACTCGCTAATCGAGTTTCATTCGCCACCCAACATCTTCTTTCTGTCCCCCCTCCCCCATGTGGCTCGTTTCTTTTTAATCTCTTTCATTTTCTCTTTTATCTCTCTTTTTATTATTCTTCCTCTGGAGAATTCCCACCACCAAGGCCAGGTTCGATTAGCACCTGACCGATGATTAGCTCGACCGTCGAATCGGGAGCGTTCGATGAAGATGAAGAGCAAGCTCGTCGTCCTCCTAACTCTCGTCGATTTCCCTTCGTTCCGCATCGTTTTCGATCGGCGACGAGCTTGATGATCGATTTCCTGGTCCATCATCGATCTCTTCAGCTTCTCATGACGTCGGTTCAGCGTCGACGACGCTCCAAGTGTGTCGCGGGCCGAGCTCTGGTCAGGTTGGGCTACGGTGGTTCCGGCTCGGAGGTGGGAGATTCCTGCTACGCCTCCAGGAATATCAGCGCTGTCGGCTTCGGCTCCAGGTTGCTCTTCTTCGCCTCCACTACCAGGAACTCGATCTCGTTGCGATCGCGCCTAGCGAACGACTCCGCGATCAGTCTTGCTACCTCCTGATGATGGAGACCTGTCGTCGACACATCGGATGGATCGTTCAAATTTTAAAATTTATACGATTCGTAAGTTTAATCGAAAGGTAATTACCTTCCACTTTGTGTCCATCGACTTCTAGGATCAGTTGACCGACCTCGAGGCCACCGGCCTCGTAAGCTGCCCCATTATCCTGTCAATACGTCGATTGATTAATTAAGCTTAATAATTTCTTCTCGGACTATAAATATTTGCCTCGACATTTTCATTTATTGAAGATTCCTTTTAATTTGCAAGTTCTTGGATTGCAATTTTTTATCGTAAAAATTTTATCAAAATTATTTTTTTTCTTTCTCGTTGTTACGTTCTACGTTTGAAATTTGAATTATCAAACGAAGGAAGTAAGAAGGAATAATGTTTCTTACGTGTATATTGATGATCCTGGGCAGTGGATGTTTGGTATTGGCACCGCCCTCGATGGCAATGCCCAAAATCGACTTGGTCTTCTTCACGGTGATCCTCAGGTTGCCCTGGTGATCGGGGACCACCAACGCGCCGTCCTCTTCCCTTCTTTCAGATATTTCGCTCCTGGTCAATCTCTGGGCGCTGTGATGCCTTCGCGGCGGACCACCCGCACCCCCAGCACCCGCTGTAGCGGCACCAGAACCACCCTCCTCGAGGAGCTGAGCCTCCTGCATGTCGAAGCTCCGCGAGAGCTTTTGCGCGAGTTCCTGAAACGGGCACAGCTTCGTTTCATTCGGCGGAAATTGAGAACCCGGCCTCGCTTCCGGTCGACCTTGCAGCATCGTGACAGTCTATCGAATATTCCATTTATATTCTTCCTTTGTTTCTTGAAATGTTTTCCTTTCTCCGAATTTCAACGCTTACTTTTGATTCATTAGTAATTTTGATTACGATTATTTTACAATAATTATTTGCCATTGAAACGATAACGATAACGATTTGTCCAATTTTATTTATATTACACGTGCGTTTCGAACAGGTAAAATTTAAAAAGAAAAGCGTTTTTTTGAATCACGGTTAACTGTCACGCAGCCCGTCAAAGCCACCTCGAACACGCACGATGACAGCACACAAGAGCTAAGGAGGCTGATGCTGACAAGTTCGTGTGCACGCTGTAGTCGAAGGGAGTCCTGGTAGTCTGTAAAGTTGGTAACACGGGAAGTTTTCACCATTATCTCGACGAGAAACACGTTACCATTACAGGTAATCTACGTATAACGACTGTTATTTTGCGCCTCGAAACATTTCCTGACCACGATTCGTGCGAAGTGTAAGAGTGTACATACACCTCCATACAATCACGAATAAAAATTTATACAAATGTAATTCGATGCGATACTTTTCAATATTATTACACATAGGATGAATATCATCTATTCGAAGTTTCACCAAATTCTCTTTTCACATTCCAACTTGCAACGCCTACCGGGTATCTCTTCTCCACAACGGTGCACATCTCTCCCGGTTACCTATATGCAATCGTATCACAACATCGTGACAGGAATAAAAAAAAAAAACAGTATGAATAAAATATATATATATAAAAATAAATATAAATATAA